GAGCCACAGCCTGCACCAAGCGCTCACGCACACCTGCGCGTCCCCTGCGAGCGTGTACGGGCACCTGCGGTGTGCAGAGGAGGACGTGGGCTCTGCCCCCACCCCAAATCCCCCCCCAGATCCCATGAAGTCCAAGGCTTACCGACGCCTCTTCCTGACCGTAGCCTGAACCAGGGCGGCTTCTCCTCAGCCGTAGCAGCGCTTGGTACCCAAAGTGGGTTAAGACCAGATGCTTTAAATGGGAGTGTAATATTGTTACTCATCACTACTAATAACGATGTTACTACTTCTTAATGATGCACAAAACTGTCAGAATATAACAGATGTAAAACTGTTTTACATCAAATTTAGCTGTCAAAGAAATACCATAAACAGTTGGAGAGGAGCACGTTTCTCTCAACCCAAGGTATCACTGCTACAATTCTCGAGGGTTTTTTTTTTTTTCTTTCACTTAATTGTTGGTTTCTGCTGGAAAAGTCAGAAAGGTATGTAAGGTCAAGCACAGAAGCATTTTGGTTTTTTAAATGAATAGATAAAATTATTCCCATTAATGAAATTCTTAGGTCTGCATGCTGAGATAATAACATGAGATAATCAAATCTCATGCTTCAGGGCATAAACGGATTGACTAAGAGGGTCAGGAATTATTTTTCCTGTTCCTTAAAGAAGTGAACAATGGCCTGATAAATGATGAAGGCTTATTCATTTGTCTGCAGAGGATGTTACACTGGCCGTTTGGACGGTGAAACATGAAGCAAAATCGGAGCATTGATTCAGTGCGACATAATTTTGCATCCTCTCTCTGTACGGGGACATCGTCTGGCTTGAGTCCCGAGAGCGAGCGGCTTCTTCCAGCTCTTGGGTCAGTCCTGCTGCTCACACAGGGACTGTTGCCATCTGTCTGGGGGTGGCTGAGGAGTCCCCAGGGATTTCTGCTGACCCCCGGAGCAGATGAAGAGTGATGGTCACCAGCGTGGACCATCTCCTGCCCCAGACCGTCGGTGCGGGACCTGCACTGGGGCTGGGGCGGGTGCCATTCAGTGCCCAGGACCGTGACACCCCTGGTTTAAGTGGTCCCGCACGATAGCGAGTGGCAGTGGGCTGTCTGCTTTTGACGTGGAAATCAGATCTTCCCCCAAGGCCCTGACATCTCCCTGTGCTGCAGATGGTCAGGGTCACTGAAAATATGTTCTCATGATAATTCTACAGCCAGAGTTGCAAAGGGAGGGCATTAAGAGGCCGTGGTTCAGC